TCCCCGCAGATGACGTCCTCCACCAAGGTGTACTACAGCCAGACCACGCAGACGGACAGCCGCCCGCTGATGGGGCCGGCGCTGCGGCGGCGCCGGGTGCTGACCAAGGACGGCCGCAGCAACGTGCGCATGGAGCACATCTCGGACAAGCGCTTCCTGTACCTCAAGGACCTGTGGACCACCTTCATCGACCTGCAGTGGCGCTACAAGCTGCTGCTCTTCTCGGCCACCTTYGCCGGCACCTGGTTCGCCTTCGGCGTGGTCTGGTACCTGGTGGCCGCGGCGCACGGCGACCTGCTGGAGTTCGAGCCGCCGGCCAACCACACGCCGTGCGTGATGCAGGTGCACACGCTGACCGGCGCCTTCCTCTTCTCGCTCGAGTCGCAGACCACCATCGGCTACGGCTTCCGCTACATCAGCGAGGAGTGCCCGCTGGCCATCGTGCTGCTGATCGCCCAGCTGGTGCTSACCACCATCCTGGAGATCTTCATCACCGGCACCTTCCTGGCCAAGATCGCGCGGCCCAAGAAGCGCGCCGAGACCATCAAGTTCAGCCGCAACGCSGTGGTGGCGCAGCACGACGGCAAGACGTGCCTGATGGTGCGCGTGGCCAACATGAGGAAGAGCCTGCTGATCGGCTGCCAGGTGACCGGCAAGCTGCTGCAGACCCACCTGACCAAGGARGGCGAGAGCGTCCGGCTCAACCAGCTCAACGTGGACTTCCAGGTGGACACGTCCTCGGACAGCCCCTTCCTCATCCTGCCGCTCACCTTCTACCACGTGGTGGACGAGGCCAGCCCGCTGCGGGACGCGTCGCTGCGCTCGGGCGACGGCGATTTYGAGCTGGTGGTCATCCTGAGCGGCACGGTGGAGTCCACCAGCGCCACGTGCCAGGTGCGCACGTCCTACCTGCCCGAGGAGATCCTGTGGGGCTACGAGTTCACGCCGGCCATCTCGCTGTCGGCCAGCGGCAAGTACGTGGCCGACTTCAGCCTCTTCGACCGCGTGGTCAAGGTGGCGGCGCCGTGCTGCCGGCGCGAGGCCGGGCCGCGCTTCGGTGACCCCGACAAGGTCAAGCTGGAGGAGTCGCTGCGCGAGGCCGAGCGCGAGGCCGAGGGRGCCCCGCTCAGCGTCCGCATCAGCAACGTCTGAGGGGACGGCGGTGATGGCACGGTGGCACCGGGATGAGGGTGACAGCGGCATTGTGGTGGCACCGGGGTGGCACCGGGATGAGGATGACATCGGCATTGTGGTGGCACCAGGGTGGCACCGGGACAAGGGTGACATCATGCTGTGGTGGCACCGGGATGAGGGTGACATCGGCACCATGGTGGCACCAGGATGAGGGTGACATCGGCACCGTGGTGGCACCGGGACCAGGGTGACATCGGCATTGTCGTGGCACCGGGGTGGCATCGGGACGAGGGGTGACATCAGCACCGTGGTGGTACCAGGATGAGGGTGACATCAGCATTGTGGTGGCATCGGGACGTGGGTGACATCAGCACTGTGGTGGCACCAGGATGAGGGTGACATCAGCATTGTGGTGGCATCGGGACGTGGGTGACATCAGCACTGTGGTGGCACCGGGACCAGGGTGACATCGGCACTGTGGTGGCATTGGGATGAGGGTGACATCAGCACCGTGGTGGCACCGGGACGAGGGTGACATCAGCATTGTGGTGGCACCGGGGTGGCGCCAGAACGAGGGGTGACATCGGCATTGTGGTGGCACCAGGACAAGGGTTACATCGGCATTGTGGTGGCACCGGGACGAGGGTGACATCGGCACTGTGGTGGCACCGGGACAAGGGGTGACATCGGAGCAAGGCATGGCATTGTGGTGGCACCGGGACTGAGGTGACATCAAAGCAAAGGGGTCACATTGGCACCGGGATGAGGGTGACATCGGCATTGTGGTGGCACCAGAACGAGGGGTGACATCCGAGTGTGGCATGGCATTGTGGTGGCACTGGGACGAGGGTGACATCATCATCGTGGTGGCACCGGGATGAGGGGTGACATCGGCATCGTGGTGGCACCAGGGTGGCAGCGGGACAAGGGTGACATCAGCACCATGGTGGCACCAGGATGACACCAGGATGAGGGGTGACATCAGCATTGTGGTGGCACCAGGACAAGGGTTACATCGGCATTGTGGTGGCACTGGGATGAGGGTGACATCAGCACCATGGTGGCACCAGGACGATGGGTGGCATTGCGCTGTGGTGGCAACAGAACGAGGGGTGACATCGGCATTGTGGTGGCACCAGGATGAGGGTGACATCGTAGCAAGGGGTGACATCAGCACCATGGTGGCACTGGGGTGGTGCAGGGACGAGGGGTGGCATCGGCCCTGGGGTGGCACCGGCAGCAGGGTGGCATCGGGATGGCTCTGGGATGAGGGGTGACACTGGCACCAGGGTGGCACTGGGACAACGGGTGACATCGGCACTGGGGTGGCACTGGGGTGAGGAGGTGGTGGCAGGTGCGGGAGGTGTCACCGTGTCTGGAGGTGCCACCAGCCCTGGAAGTGCCACCAAGCCTCAGAGTGTCACCCAGCCTGGAGGTGCCACCAGCAACTGCAGGTGTCACCAAGCCTGGAGGTGCCACCAGCCCTGAGGTGACACCAACATCAGGATGTGACACCAGTGTGGAAGTGCCACCAGTCCGGGAGTGCCACCAATGCCTGGAAGTGCCACCAGCCCCAAGGTGCCACCAGTSTCCAGAAGTGTCACCAATGCCCAAAGGAGCCACCAGCCAAGATTCCACCAAAGCCTGGAAATGTCACCAACCCTGGAAGTGCCACCATCTGGAGGTGCCACCAGCCCCAAAGTGCCACCAATGCCTGCAAGTGTCACCAACCCTTGGAGGTGATACCAGCACCAAGAACGCACCCATCCCTGGAAGTGACATTAGCCCCAAAGTGCCACCAGCCCCGAAGTGCCACCAACCCCAAAGTGCCACCAACATCTGGCAGTGCCACCAACCCCAAAGTGTCACCAGTCCCTGGAAATGACACCAGCCCCAAAGTGCCACCAACATCTGGCGGTGCCACCAGCCCCTGGAGGTGCCACCACCCCAAAAGTGTCACCAACCCCTGGCGGTGCCACCAACCCCCTGGATGGTGACAGCCCCAAAGTGTCACCAACCCCTGGAGGTGCCACCTGTCCCAAAGTGCCACCAACCCCTGGTGGTGCCACCACTCCCCGGGGGGCC